ATAAATATAAAAACTTGTAAAAAATAATTATAATATATATTTATATTTTTAAAAGTATATATAAAATTTTTAATATTATAAATATATGAATAAATATTATCTCGTATATAAAGTTGCTCAACATCATAATGATAAATTCTAATTAACTTGCTAAAAAATAATCATGCACGGTCGGCCATTGCTTCTATATTTGCAGATCCTTTTAAAGTGGTTTTAGTTATTTGTGCTTGGGATAATGCCAGCATGCACCTCACCATGTAATCGTGTTGCCAAACTTGCGTAATGATGAGAAATTGAAGATATCGATTAAACCCGACCGAAATGATGATTCGGTTTGAGGGTGACTATTATGGCTGGCTTATCAAAATCTTCATGCTTGGCCAACTTTTGAAACAAGGTCGTGAGTCCGAGAAATTAAATATGTAGGTCTCTCTTACCTTTCCGTCTATGTCATGATGATTTCTAGCATTACCTTTGAGACAGTGACCATATAGTATATATATAGCTTAAATTAATAATCTCCTTTTGTAAATCAAACCATTAATTAACATATAAAGCATATGGGATTGCAGTCTCGAAGCCCGCTTTTACGTGACATCCATCATGGTAATCATTCCCATTTAAAAAAAAAAAAAAAAAAAAAAAACTCATTCTAAAAGTCCTAGTAAGAAAGCATGTGAATTAACCAAAAGAAAGAAAGAAAGAAAGATGAAAACCCCTTCGTACACACACAAGCAGCTTCCTGATATAAAGTAGTAATAATGTATAACTGGTATCGATCATTTTCTTCTTTTTCTTTTGCCCTTTCTCTCTGAGAAAATGCTGCCCCAGCTTGAAGTCATGGTTTTCTTCATCACACATTCTCCGTGGAAGAAGGGAGAAGAGGCTGAGTGAGTGATGTTTTGGCATGGCTTGAGGATCTGATGCTGCTATGCTCTGGGGTGGTCGTAATTGCAACCTGTTCCTTTGCAAATTTCTGTTCTTCGTTTTTACCCCACAAGACAAAGTACAGTCCCACAACTATCAAAACTGCTCCAATGATCCTATACCATCAAAAATACGACCCACAAAGCCATTATCAATCAAAATTGGACCCAACTTTTTTTTTTTTTTTGTTTGTTATAAAGTATATGCACAAAAGAGAAAAGAAAAGAGACACGGCACCTTCCATATTCAACATCTTACAAAAATTCTTAAAACTTTTTTAACCCTCTAGAACGCGGAATCATCAAAAGTTGTTCATTCGGGTATCTTAGCCTTTTCTCTGTTGAGTCAGTTCTCACACAAGGTTCAACCTTGCCTTAGCTCTAGCTCACTTGTTGTTTAGTGGGTTTCATTGTCGTTTTCCAAGTGGTCGTCATTTCATACTCAATATTATTAGTTTCAATTCCATTATTCCGATATAAAAAAATAAAATAAAAAAAATCATGTGTAACATTATATATAATAATTTTTATTTGTCAATTTTAAGTACACATTTTAAAAATACACTTTAAAATAAAATAAGAATTATTATATCATATGTAAAGCATGTGAATGATCAAAGTAATTAAAAGAAATCAAAAGGCAAATGGTGGTATGAACTTTAAGCTATATATATATATATGCACCCGTTCTAACATGTGAAATGAACAAGTTTCTTAAAATATTTTATGTGTTTTAAGAATTAAAAGGCAAATGGTATGAACTTAGGTGATTATTTTAAACGACTAAAATATGAAAATGAAGAGGTTAAGTAAGATAGGACCACGAACCCGCCCAAGTAGAACTCTTCGCCTAAAGCAAGTGAAGCCATAATAGCGACAACAAGAGTTTGAACAGGTTGATACACGGCAACGAACACAGGGCCACCTCTGTGAATGCACCATATCTGTACAGCGAAGGCAATTCCGGATGCCACCACTCCCTGCAATGTATTTCCAAGTTTATAACATTAAAATATATATCATATATGATAATATACACACGCACACGCACCCACCATCATATCTCCACAATTATTGCATAAACACATCCAATAATACATACCATTAATCATCTCATAACTCAAACACATACAGACAACTATAGAGAAATTCTTTATTGTACAAAATTTAATTGAACTTTATTATAAAGCGACCAAGTACCAACTTTGTTAAGTTTCTATGAAATTAGGCCGGGGCTTTTGCATATTAATAATTCTTTACGCGCTTTAGGTTTTACTCAAAAATTAATATAAAACTAAAAGTAGTGAAGTTGGTTAAAAAAATGAGAGGCCAAATTAAAATTACATATATTGTTGGGAGAATGAAAGCACATGCATGTAGTAGAATGAGTAGGTAGGTATGTTACTGACCGCATAGAAAATTGTGAATACTTCTCCACCAGAGTGGAAAATCCAAGCCTGAGCATCTCTTTCAACAATAAGAGCAATGACTAGGAATTGGATGAGTCCAAAGAAGCATGTATAGGAAGTGACAGAAAGGCGAGCTGGGTACTTCTTGAGTACAGGTGTTTGCAACACAAGCCAACCAGACCAAGACAAGCAATGCCCTATGAGGTAGAGGCAACCAAGGGTCCAGTTCTTGCCCTTTGCATCTCCCAGTGAGAGTGTGCCAAACTCAATTACTGGGCTGTTTAGATGTGGACTCGGGCTATAAATTGTTGGACCCTTGTATAGTGTGATCACCGTTGCCCCAGCAACACAGAATATTGTTCCCGCCACCTTTGCTATCCCATCCTTTCGGTTCAGCCTCACTTGCTCTATCCTGAAAATTCAATTTTATTTCATCTACGTGTAAATATACATAGCCACATGTAGGCAATTAGGCATGCATGGTGCAACAACTGAACAATTAATTAAGGGCTTGCCTCAGTATGGCTGCCATGAGAAATGTAATGGCTGGGACAGAGTTCTGAATTGCTGATGCAAAGGTTGGGGATGTGTTGTCCAAGCCAAGCAAGTAGAAACCTTGGTTTGCAGTAATCCTGTGTAATGCAAAATATTAATAATTAAATGACCCGCCAGCTAGCATGGTGCTCAATTTCTTCTAACTTTTTCTTAAAAAAAGGAAAAAGAAAACAGTGTTTTTTCCCTTGCTTTTTTCCTTTTCTTTTCAATCACCTCGTGATGTAAACAAATTACATACCCGACAAGCGCCAGAAGAAAGAACTGTAAGAGGAAGTTTAAAGTAATGGCAGGCCTCTCCTTCCTGGACAAAAGAAACAAACTGGTGCTGAGAGAGACAGGAAAGATTCAATTACAGAGTTTTTTTATATATCCTTTTATATATTAAACACATGTGTATAAGGAAATAAATGGGATTAATTAATTTGATTAGTTATGGTTAGAGGAGGTAGCTAGCACTAACTAACTTTTCCAAGAAGTATGCAAAGGGAACTAGAAGGAGAAAAGCAATGATGTTGCGGTAGACTGGGAAAACGAGTTTGCTAATGCCCATGTTAAGGGCAGCTCTTGAGACGACATGGAAGCCGGCATAGCCAAACTGCAGGGCCAACATGGCCGCATGCAGCTGAAGCCGTTCGGGGATGGAGCACCACATTCTCCCGGAAGAGGCTGAGGCTGAATCAGCCATTGAAGAATGCAATCAATTAGGTAACCGAATAATTGAAAGGGGTGAGGAAAGTGGTGAGGAGGAGATGGAAGAGGTAGGATATAAATATAGTGAAGAGAGAGTGGGAGTGTACAAGTAATGCAATAGGGTATGACCCACAATCACCCTAAAAAGGCGTTGTGTCAACTGTTGGTACCCTTCAAATGTTTTTGCTTGTCTCCCACATTCTTTTCTTTTCTTTCCTCTATTCCATTCCACCCTCCTTCGCTGACAAGACAACCCCCACCGCACTTCGATCCCTTCAAATTCAAAAAAAATATAAATAAAAAAAAAGTGATCAGGGTGTCAGGTCAGGTGTGTTTTTGAGAAATTATGAGAGAGAGAGAGGAAGGGAAATTTAATTGAAAGAGTGATTAGTACTAATTAAAAGGGTACGCTGGGGTTTGATACCAACACCAACACCATGCCAATAATGATGATAGTTGTGCAAAGGGTGAGCCGCCATTGATAGATAGCGCGCACGAGTGGAGTGGTGGATGTCCCATGCTTTCTCATCCCCCATCAAAGCCTAAACCCCACCCTCTACTCAATAATAAGTTATTACAGAGTATATAGTATTTTATTATTATACCATGACCAGTCCCTAAAGTATACTTTAGCTTCTTTTTTCTGCTACTCACTCACATTATAAAATTCACCAAGCCGTAGCATATGTATAAATATATGTTGCAGCTACTACCTCCACTATATTCAAAAGGAAGTGTTCCCACTCCAAAAGTTAGCATAATATGCGGATTGGTTGCTCAAATCATCCCCCTAAGCTTTTATCAGACATAATGCCGCCCCCTCCTTCCTCTCACCCTTCAAAAATTACAAGGGGAGGGCAAGGGGGGAAATTAAGCCTGGATGGGATAACATGAGTAGTGAAAAATATATATTAGCAACGTAATTTCTCTTAACACCATGTTTCTAATATATATTTATATATTTTGTAACCATCACAACAGTTTAATTTTAATTTTAAATAGATAAAACTTACATGCAAAACTATAAATATTGATGTTGTATTCTCTAATTAGAATTAAAGTTTTGCTTTAATAATAAATATAAATATTTGATGAAATATCTTATTATACATTATTAATTAAGTGAAACTTTATTTTTAATTAAAAAATAACACTAATGGTATATATGGAAGTGTGAAGGACTTTTATATTGACAATCAATTACAATTTATAGTTAGTATGACTATACGTAGTTATTTATTATAAAAGACGATGAGATTATCATCCATAATGATTTATGATTAAAGAACAATGTAAAACTAGTGTATAACTTATTTTTCTTATTAGATTATGAATGAGGTAAATAAAAAATGAAAAAAGATTATTTAGCATATTTTATAATTATTTCAATTCATAATAAAGAGTATCTTGAAATTGTTGAACGAGTGTATAGTTAACTTTTAGAACAAGGGAAACATGTCAATTTATTTATAGCGATCAGGTAAGAATTTTCAAAATTGATTTCGAAATAAAGTAATATATATTTAGATGTTTTTATTTTAAAGTTTTTTTTAATATTATTAGTAAGCATCTGCAAACTATCTAAAATTGCTAACTCAAAATCAAAATTCATAATCAATTCTCTAAATATTTCTTTAAAATCTCGTTAGGTGATGTTTCAATGTAATTGTATCATTCAACATAGATGTAAATGTAAATTTAGTGTGTTTAGATTAACTTTTAATTTTTTTTTTCTGTACATGTGCTTTTAATTCTACTATAAAGTATATGTTAAAAAACACGTTAGAAAACAGAGAATCACATTAATTTATCCAAAAAAAAATGTAAAAATTATAATTATTAATTTTTGGTTAAACGTAAAAAATAACATAGACAAGTGAACCAATCACACTAAAAATAAATTACAAAATTACATGAAAGGCTAAAGTAATAAATATTTGCTTCAACTTTTTAAACTTTTCACCATCATTTTGAGGCTTAAAAATTGATGATTGGAAGTATCTAAACACACTATTAAGCGTCATCTTAGTTGAGATCTGCTTTACTTCTGAAGTTAGAGTACGTAGAAACTACTTCACATTGCTTCAAATTTTCATATCTTTGATCCACATTTATTTGGAATTTGGACAGGGAACCAAATACAATGTCTGTTTGGATTCGACATAAAGAATTCGATTCCGAAACTAAAATTGATTTGAAGGAGAAATAACTTTAATTTGCTTCTGATATTAAATAAAAATTATATACTAATTATTACTGCTAACATACTTTTAAATAAAAACATAATTATTCTTGTTTTAACCAAAAAATAATAATAAATAAATCTGAACAAAAAAGCAATTGGATAAAATTAATTTTAGAAATGCTTAAACCAACACACTAATTCAAAGGAGCAGATGTGATGTTAGTAATTTGGAGTCTCCTTTGACCACCTGTGACCTGACGCCATCTGATCTTTGAAACATAAAATAAAATAAAAAATAGAGGGATTGTATCTGACAGCCATGCTATACTAGTAATTGCATTGCATTATGAGTTATGACAAAAGCTGGGTGGAGAAAATTAAGACCAAGAACAAGACTAGGTCTGACCCGACCTGCATGACCCGGTCGGATACCACCCTGACCAAGCCAGTTGGGCTCTTAATTGCGTTTCCACGAACTTCCTACCCTTTAAGTACACACCTGACAGCTAAACTCAGATTCTCTCTGCACGACACAATCTTCACATCACCTCCTACATCCATTCCTATCACTCCATTTTTCACCACCTTCTCTCTATAGCCACTCCTCCACCCATTTCTTTTTTCTCCAAAATAATTTTTCTCTTTTCAATTATTATATGTAAATTATCCCCTTCTCTTCTAATTCCATCTCAATCATCCCTTTCAAACACGCTAAATGATTTATGGAATTAGGCTCATGTGTGTGCATGTTATTTGCAAGGATTCACAGCGTGCGCACACAAAAATGTAACTTGCAAGGGTTGTTGATTTTTAAAGAGTGACGCCAACATTGCATGTGCACTGAATACAAGTGGCAAATTAGAAGCCAACAGTTGTGGTCCATATCCTTTATGCACAGTCATCCGGTGCTACCATACGCTAATCTTGCAACGTGTCATTGCACTATGCCATTTTTTGTATATTATTATTCAATTATGAGTCAACGAAAAAAGAAGGGTTGGATTAACCATATTATCGTGTAATTAACTTCTAAAGTTAGTATTATGAGTGTTAATTAGCAGGGTGCCACAAATGCAAGCAAATTTAGCTGGCGGCATGTTTCAAACCAAAAAAATACAACGCTCATTACAAAAGTGGTTGAAATTACAAAATGTACAACACTCAACATGTCTTATATTATTGAGCACAGTAGTAAAGAGAAATGATAGGAGTATCCTGTCTCCGCTCTTTCATTATAGTAGCTTAAGATTTTTATGTATTAGCTTTCACAATAGTACCCTAAGATTTTTATATATAAGCTGTATGTATAGATTAATTTCATATTATACTAGCTTAAGATTTTTATGTATTAGCTTTCACAATAGTAGCTTAAGATTTTTATCACTACAATAAAATTTAGTATTATTGATAATTATTTAATGATAATAAATTAATTGTCTTTATTTTATTATTTAATAAAAATATTAATGACTATTATATAATGGTCACTAATTAAAAATGCATTTACATCACTTCAAAATTTATTATTAGCGACAACTATTTGTTAGAAAAAATTTAAGTCCCACATCGACTAGAAATAAAATAATTAAAAAGTATATAAGTGAACGATAACTCTCACCTTACAAGTATGTTTTATAAAGTTGAGTTAGACTTATAACTTATTATTCTAAGTTGGTACTATTTAGGAGATAAGATAATTAAAAAAATTAAAGAATATATACTTCGAAGATAACCTTTATCTTTTAAGTCTCACATCAATTAGAAATAAAGTAACTAAAAAGTATTTGTACTCATCTTATAAGTCCTACATCGAATAGAAATAAAATAATTAAAGGGTATTATAAATCTTTTCTTAAACTTTTAGCGACAATTTTAAATGTCAGTAATAAATAACACAAAAAGTTATATATTTTTCCCAATCATTATGAGGGTTTTTACCAGCATATAGAATAATTGCCGGTAAATGTTTTAGCAACACTGCATACAATGACTAATGTGTGAAATACTGGTAAAAGATTTTGTAACAATTTTTATTGCCATTAAAAGTCATATTAAATGTTACTAAAAGTCCATTTCATTGTAGTGTATATAAGCTGTGAATGTATAGATTAATTAAAAATTAGATAAGATGTAATAATATAGTTGAAATTTTTTTTTAAAATAATAAAGAAATAGAAACAAAAATTTTACTAAAATAAATAAAAATTGAAAAGGAACCATTGAATACTTTTTTGACACATTTCTTTTATTATATAATTAAAATTTATTAAAAATTATAAATTTTATTGAGTTTTACTCCCTATTTAATAATGACCATTTCTTCCACTTCAATAATTTTTAGTGAAGTAAGAGTTTGTTAATAATGACGTATTATAGTGTATTAATTACTATCCCAGTGGACCATGTTCATAAACTTTATAAAAAAAAAAGCAACACACTTTTAAATACATCATTCTTAACTCTTTCCATAGTGCTAAATACTTGGATCGATATCTGTTAATCACCTTATATGATATTTGTTTCATTTCAAGGTAATCAAAGACTTGGTAAAATCAAATTTGTTTAAGAATGTGACATATATAAATTAAAGGGATGAGAATATATGATTAAAAATGTAAATAATGAAAATCGAGTAAGGTTAACATTGTTTGCAGATGAGCTTTAGTTTATGCCAAGTTAATAATGAAAGAGATGGTGCATGCCTCCCATTAATTAATAAACATTATTAGAAGGTAATAATAATGTTATACAAAACACATAATATCCATTGACCGTAAATTGCAGGGAGATGTTGGGCGGTTTAAGAAGTTTTTATGAGGGAATGGTAAACAGCGATGATTAAAATGTTGAAAAAGGGGGAATCGAAAATGGAATA